TCTATTTCTTTAAAAAAAGTCAAATCAGGCCACAGGTACCACGATCAGTAGACATCCTCCTTGCCTGTTCTCTGGGAATCTGGTCTGCTAGAAATTTTAGTTATGGGGGGTACTGGGTGACCCTGGGGCTGATGACAGGCCAGCCCAGGCCCTCTGGGAGGCAGATTCATCTCCAGGTGTGCGGAGGGGATGAACACCATAGGTCGCTGTATCTGACTGCACCAGTCATATGCACCCTCTCTCAGGGCTTATGAGCTGAGAGACGGGCAATCCAAGGACCATTAGCTCATAATACAGATGAGCAGTCAGAGGCCCAAGGTCTGGTCTCAGGTTGCAGTACGCAAGTGTTTGTCACTCCTTTCCTTTTACCTGAGGTCTGCGTGGCTCTAGGCTGACTGAAGAGGCACCACTCCCAGGCCAGTCTAGGTCCTGTGGCCTATGAAGCTCAGATCATTCTGTGGAGCTGGAGCTGCACCCTATTGGGCTATACATGGCAGAATAGCTGGGGTCTCCAAGAGGCAGAAGTGCTTGCCCCTAGCCTGGTGCTTGGCACAGCCCCATCAGGGGCCTGCTGAGTCACCGGGAAAAGGAGCATTTTCATCTTCTACTGAACTCTTTTAAATAGGCCATTAATGCCCCTTTGTATGTGTTGCCACAGTGGGTTCTCCTTGCCTTGTACCCATCAGGCATTGGCTGCAGTTTCTGAGTCTGTTCTGAGGTGAGCAGCTGCTGTCTTCTGTTGGGGTATCCAGCCTCTCTTGCTGTGGATCAGATTCACCTCTCAACTTTGAGAGCCTGCTGCCCTTGCAGCATCAACGCAAGTCCATCATGGAACTTCAGATTCACTGTAGCAGCAGTGTTGATTCCCTCTTCAAAAGACCAGAGTCCCTTGGAAATCCTGGCCTAGTTCTTTCCACCCCGAGGTGTGGCTTTCTTGTCCCTCACCTGGCTACACTAGTCTGCAGCACTCCTCTTTAAGCCACCCTCACTGGTGGGTTTCTTGCTCTAATACCTTTCCTTCTAAATAGTGGCCCTGCCAGTGCTCAGTCTCCTGTAACAGGGGCATTTTTCTTGGACTCTTATTACCTATTCCAGGCCTGGTTAATTCAGAATAGTCAAGACCAAAGCCACTGATACCTCACCAGGACCCCAGTACTGCCCAACTGACCAAGATCATCACTATGAGAATGTGAACAAAGGTCCTAGAGCTCACTAACATTAAGACCCCAAAGGAACCTCACTCAGTAGGGCATTTCTCCCATAGCGAACAGGCACTGTATTTTCTTTAAATTTTAAAGCAACGCATCCAGATTTGACAATTTTCAGTTGTCTAATTTCGGAGGAGGGGGCCGCTGTGAACTCAGTTTAGAAAACTGGTTGTCTGCAAGTCTTACTGTGGGAAGTTATGTTGTATTCACGAAGAAAATACAAGTTCCTTTGAGTTGTGAGAAGACAATAGTTAATTGTACTTGCCCTGCAAATTCTTATTGGATGCCAGAAACATTGCCATGAATGTTTTCTCCCGGAGTGACTGAAACCCGGTGAACTGTAGTGAGGGAGGGTAGAGGCTGTAGGCGGTTTAGAAGGTAAATGTTAGAAGGTACATGTACTGTCCTGAGGCAGACTCACAGATGGTGGTGGGGGGAACAAGTTCCTTCTTTTGCAGACATCTGGATGCAAGTCATCTCAGCTGAATGATGAAAACAAAGCCTGGAGAAAAGCTGCAGTTTCCAGAGGGAGAAGACCAAACACTCCATTAATGCTTATGTGTGTAGGTTACCATTTCTGACTGGAGTTCTCTCTGGTTCTGCCCCACCAGTACACACACACCTTGTTGTTGTTGTTGTTATGTGCCGTCGAGTCGGCCCCGACTCATAGCGACCCCTCCTTGGGTTTCCAAGGCAGTATCACTATGGAAGTAGGATTGCCCAACCTTCCTTCCGAGGAGTGGCTGGTGGGTTTGAACCGCCAGCCTTCTGGTTAGCAGTCAAGTGCCTTAGCCACTATGCTATCAGAGCTCCTCCTACCCCTGGTAACCACTAAGCAAGGGGGAGAGAGAGAAAGAGAGAGAGAGGATGCCTCTAAACCGGACTGGTCAGCAGACAGATTCAGTGTTTTCTTTTCCATTTCAGAAAGGCTATTTGAAGTCCTGGTGAATAAATAAAGATGAGACACCCAGACTCAGATCTTTAGACCAAGTATATATTTTAATTTCTACAAGGTCCCCCTCCCAAGTTGTAGGGAAATGTAATTGGAGTGTATACAAATAAGACATCAGCAATATGTACAAAAGTATTTTCTACAGTTTTGAACACTACCAACTATCATGTTTCATTTGCAGTAAACAGGATGTTACAAAAACAGCCAATAACACATTTTTCTATAAGCACAATACACAACATAATTCCATTTTATTAAAAAATAACTTCAAAATACAGAACAATTCACTTCAGGAAGAAAAGCTATTTCTGTAGTTCACTTCAGTAAACATACAAGTTGACTGCTGCAGCTGAGGCTGTCCTTTTCCAAGGAGACAACAAAGGAGGCTTCTAGGGCCCACCTTTTCAGGTTAAAATTACACCCACACAGCTGAGATGAGCAAAGTTACTGCCTGAGGTAGGCAGAATTCTAATGTATAACCCCGCTTTGGGTTCCACATCTGAATCCCTGGAACCTATGAATATGATGAGATATCACATCTGTGATTACGTCATGTTCTATGGCACACAGCTGACCTTAAAACAAGGATTATCTGGGTGGGTTTGATCTAATCACATGAACCCTTAAAATAGAAGGAGTAGAGAATTAAAGTGTGAGAAAGAGAAGGACTTGACAGGCCACTGATGTTAAAAATGGAGGGGACCACATAAGAAGGAATGAGGGTGACTTTAAAGACTTGAGAGACAGGCTCCCAGCTGACAGCCAAAAGGAAAGGGACCTCAGTCCTACAGCCACAAAGAACTGAATTCTGCCAACAACCTGAACGAGCTTGAAAGCAGAGTCTTCTCCCGAGCCTCCATAAAGGAATGATGCCCTGACAACTCTTGCTTTCAGCCTATGAGACCCTGAGCAGAGAATCCAGCTGTAACACGCCAGACTCGTGACCCACAGAATTGTCAGCTAATAAATGTGGGTTGTTTTAAGCTGCTAAGTTTGGGGTAATTTGTTACACAGCAACAGAAAACCAATTCACTGCCCAAGGATAACTTTTCTTAACCTAATTAGATTTGGCAGTTTCTGTTTGGTTTCTGAATGTGTTTTTTTTTTCCCCCACTGAGTTATAGCAGTATTCTCCTTTGCAGGCCACTTCTGCAAACCCTTAATATGAATCACACACTGTTTTTTTTTCTTTGACTGCAGGTGTTGTTTACTTAAGTCCTATAATCTAATGTAGTTTTGCTTATCAAGTTCACAAACAATTGACCACCTAACCCTGTTTATCCAACTTTTCATGGATGAAATACATCCAAAGTTACCCCTCCCATCCATTAAGGGCTGTCAAATGCCTCCAACAGAGGATTCTTTTCCACTTCCCACACACACCAGGCAGGGCCTGAGGTAGGATGGCAGAGTTCTACATCAAACATCCAATATGAATTTCTTCCACATAACTGGATTAAACTGGCACTAAGGTGATTAAGTACACTTGGGGGAAACAACAATCAAATCAAAGTTTAAAAATAATTATACCAGTCTTTACAGCTCAAATTATTTTTGGAGGAACCACCCAAAGCCTTGAAATGTGTAATTTACCCTACACCCTTTTCCCTGCCGGGTGTCCTGGGCTTCTTCAGGTCATGCCAGACTTCACTGAGCCAGTGTGGGTCACAATGGAAGCAGGGGGGACCCTGCTGGTGCTTAGAACAGTTCAACTGCTGTGGTATGTTCCTTATTTGAAACACTTAAAAGTCCTACAAAATGTCCCTGGGATGGTAGTAGATTTTGATTCACTTTTGAAATCTGTTCCTCAACCCACTCTTCCAGAGGCACACACATCAGTTATGTGCATAGAGCTGGGTGGCCACAAAACCTACTATATGCCAATCCTGCCTGCTTCAGGGACCCCCTCTTCCCTCCCAGCCCACACCTGTGCTTGGGAGAAGCTCACTAAATATTCAAAGTGAAGACAACTCAGAAGGAACCATTTTCAGTACTGGTGAATTAAAAAAATACATTTCATTTTTCTCTCTTATGGAGTCTAATGTATAATGTATAAGAACAATGCTTGAAGAGGCACCAAAAGGTACCAAGCACCGAAGCATGAACTGGGAATAGATTACAATCTAAACTTCTGGTAGTATTTATTAGAAAGCACAAATAAAAGCATTAAGTCTTTAGAGACAGTACAGGTATTTACAGTTAAGGCTGATTTATTCATCTTAACCTTGCCCTCTAGCCTGAAGTAATGCAGATGGTGGGTTATATAATGACCACTCTTCTGATTCTCTGCAATGGCCAAGAAGTCAGGAATGAGTTAAGAATCCCCAAGCCACTGCCTTATACTCTGACTACCATCAGTATCAATTCTGGGTGGCTTGTTTGAAGAGCACATATGCACAAGACTCTGTAATCAGTATATAAATATTTGGCTCCCTTTAACAGTTCTGCTTCACAGTTCTATGCTTGGCAGCATATATGCTAAAACCTGAAAAACGAGGGAAAAGAATCTGTATTCTAAGGAATATGAGAAATGGAAAGAAATTGTCTATTTAAAATAATATTGTAAACTACACTTTGATAAATTTCATGATTTCTTGATTCAAGAAAATGAAATATGTTTCATAGTTGGCTACTGTAAAATGTGGCACAAAAATACTTCTAGGAGACATATCTGTATATTTTAAATACTTCTGCACACCTGTAAATGAGTAAGTAACATCTATCCTTGAAATTTATTTCTAATATTGAAATAGAACAAGAGACTGCTATTAAGGTTTTTAAACTCTTAAGTCACCAAGTATTTACAAATAAGATATAATTAGTATCCTAAAAGGGCATTTTCAACTATATCTGCTGCTTTCACTGGGGCTCCGGTGATGAGAGTAACTTCGGTCACTTTCACTGTCAGAGACGTAAGATCTACAACAAAACAAATACACAAAATTATTTTAAACTTCAACTCTCTGAATTCCTCTTACAGTTTTGTTTTTGACATGAGCGGCTTGAAAACTCTATTGATGTGGCCTAACGCAGTGGGTGGACAATGGGGTACCAATTGTTGTGACACTGTAGACTACAATGATGTCTTAAATGACAAATGGTAGTAATAGCAAGGTTAGATAAAATAAAGTAACACCACATCTTACCAAACAATTTGAAATCCATTTACACAAATGAGCAAACTAACTTTCTATGTTATCCAAAATGAACATCAATTTGTTTGATGAGACTGTCTGAGAGAGTAAGGTGTAAAAGGTACATGGACAGAGCTTCATTACAGATAAGGAAAATGGGGCCCAATGAGGGGTGGGGGTGCACAGGGCATGGATACGACTACTGGGACATCAGGAGTCAAGGGAAAGAACCTGGTTATGGTCAGTATTCGGCTATTCCGAAACATATTCACTGAGAGGCATTCACTTTGCTAGGGGCTGTTGGCAAAATATAGTTCCCTGGGGTTCAGGGATAGTATAGTGAGCAAGACAAACAAGTCAGGGGCAAGGAGAGCCCTGGGAGGAGCAAAGGCTTCCTCAGAAACACATACACAGGAGGGGCTGTACCCCAGGTTAGTAGTAAGGGAAGGTTTCCCAGGGAGGGTGGGCTGCTGTGGAAAACCTGTGGGCTAAGTAGGAAATGGCCATTTCAAGGGGCAGGAGAAGAGATGGTGAAGGTATAGGAGTAGAAGAGAGAGAGAGAGAGAGAGTGTGTGAGTGTGTGTGTGTGTGTATACAGACAGAAGGTTCCAGCATATCAGAGAGAAGCCAGAATGAGCCTCAGCTGGAGTTGTTAAGTGGCGGGGCCCTATATGCCAATACTAAGCAAGACTGGAAGTGACCCTGAGGGCATTGGAGAGTCCTTGAAGAGTTTTAACCAAGAGAGTATCCAAAACACACTGACATTGCACAGGAATCATTGTTGCTGCAATGGATGGGGGGAGGGCAAGACCAGAAGCCATAGAAGAGACAATACAAAAAGTCATAGTAAAGACTTGATGTACTATCCAAATACACACACACAGCCCTAAATACTTGAAAAGATAAATCTCAATCCACATTCTGAGGCAAATGATTATGACATTTTATGTATTAATTATTTAATTTAAAACATGGACAAACTGGCTTTGCTGTTTTCAGCAATTAGCCCTATTTAAGAAAGTGGGCCAGGGATTGGTGGCCTCTCTTTACTCCTTTCAAAAAAAAAGTTTAACCAAGGATCTGTGCATATTTAAAGATACATTTAGATTCAAACACTGACAATAACCAACAAACATCATCCAGCAACTCCATATACAAAGGCCACTTTTAGTAGCTGCCTGTGGGTTGCTGAAATTCTAGAAAAGAAGTATTTCTATCTTGGAAGGGTTATGCCTCCCTTCCACTCGCAGCCCATCACCTCCCCCATCAATGCCCACAGTAACTCGCAGTGCTCTACTGGTCAGACACCCACCTGGACCGCCTATTGTAACTCCTGCCTCGGTGGTAACTGTCACTCCTCTGGCTTCTACTTCGACTCCGACTCCTGCTGTAGTAGCTATCGTAAGTGTAGGACCTGCTTTAACAGCAACAACAAACTCTAAATTTTCCTATTCAAATATTTGTATATTCCCATCTCTTTTTGGGATCTTTTTTTTTTGTTTGTTTTCAATGCATTTTACGGAAATATAATTTATGTACAGTGAAATACACAAAACTAAAGTGACATTGCTCAATACGTTTTTTTTTTGGAGTGTTCCCTCCCCTCCCCCTTCCACCCCTGGCAACCAACAAAGAAAGTTTCCCTCCATATATAAACCTTTCCTTGACCCTCCACAACAACAAACTAATACTATATTTGTCCTTCTGTGACTGACTTACTTCACTCAGCATAATGTCCTCCAAGTTTATCCATGTTATGCAGTGTTTTGCAGACTCTACATTATTCTTCAGTGCTGCATAGCATTCCATTGTGTGTATGTACCATAGTTTGGTCATCCACTCGTCCTTTGATGGGCACGTAGCTTGTTTCCATCTTTTTGCTATTGTAAATAACGCTGCGATGAACATGGGTGTGCATACATCTGTTCCTGTCCTGGCTCTCACCTCTCTAATAAATATACCTAGTAATGGGATTGCTGGGTCAAATGGTATCTACAATTCCAGCTTTCTAAGGAATCACCATACTGCATTCCACAGTGGTTGTATCACTTCACAGTCCCACCGGCAGAGTATGAGAGTCCCACTCTCTCCACATCCCCGCCAGCATTTGTTATTTTCTGTCTTGTTGAACTTTACCATCAGTACTGGGATGAGATGGTATCTCGTTATTTTGATTGCATCTTTCTGATGGCCAATGATTGTTAAGCATCTCTTCATGCATTTGCTGGCTACCTGAATATCCTACTTGGTGAAGTGTCTATTCATGTCTTCTGCCCAGTTTTCAATTGGATTGTTAATTCCTTTGCTGTTGAGGCATTGGAGTTTTCTAGAAATCTTAGAGAAGTCTCTTGCCAGATATGTAATTATCGACAAGTATGAATTTGTTGCTGTCATTTTTATTATGTGCTTTTTCATGGTGTTGATTTCTTTGTTCCATACAATTTTCTGTGCTGAGCTCATTTTGTTTATGGATCGTGTTAGCATTTTTTTCATTGCTATTATTTTAGTATTTGCTAAATATTTGTGCTGGTCCTCTTTTTGATTTGATGTGAACTTTATCAGGTTACCCTGTGATTTGTAGTTTTCTTCCCAAGTTTAGAACAGTCCATTCTATCTTGTAGTTGTCTTGACTTCCCTATCATTTAGAAGTTCTGTAAATACACAATTTTTTCCCTCCTTTTGGTTTGTAGTTGTCCTCATTTGTCAATTGATGTCTCCGGTTCCCTGTTTACAATCTTGTAGGCTTATTTACTTTGGATATTTCCATAGCTGGGTTAGTTTCTGGGTTATGTCATCACATGTGTTAATGGTCAGTTGTTGTTTGCTGTTGTCGGTTCTCTGTCCAAAGGACTCACTTTAGCATCTCTTGTAAAGGTTGGTCTAGTTTTAATAAATTCCCTTAATTACTGCTCATCTGGAAATGTCCTAATTTCACCATCATATTTGAGGGACAGTTTTGCTGGGTATATAATTCTTGGTTGCAAATTTTTCTCTTTCAAGGTTTTATATATATTATCCCATTGTCTTCTTCCCTGCATGGTTTCTGCCGAGAAATCCAAGCTTCATGTTACTGGTTGCCCCTTGTAGGTAACTTTGTGTTTTTCCTGTGCTGCTTTTAGAATTCTTTCTTTGTCTTTGGTTTTGGTGAGTCTGATGATGGTATGTCTTGATGATTTCTTTTGGGGTCTATCCTATTTGTTGGACTTCTTGAATGGACATATTCTCATCTTTCATCATACCATCATATCTCTTCCAACAAATTTTTGACAATTTTTTCTGTAGTTTTATTTCTCTCTTCCTGTTCTGGATTTCTGATTGTTGTTGTTGTTGTTGTTATGTGCCATCGAGTCAGCCCTGACTCATAGCAACCCCTCCTTGGATTTCCGAGGCAGTATCACTACGGAAGTTGGATTGCCCAACCTCCCTTCCGAGGAGTGGCTGATGGGTTTGAATCGCCAGCCTTCTGGTTAGCAGTCAAGTGCTTTAGCCACTATGCTACCAGAGATTACACATAGGTTATTTCTTTAGATAGTATCCCACATGAACTTTAAGCTTTCTTCATTTTGTTTTGATCTTTTTTCAGACTGATCCCTTTCCAAAGAAGTATTGAGGTATTTGCCTTCAAATCTCACTGTCTTCCGTTGATTCAATTCTACTCCTTTGCCTGTTCAATGTCTTATCTATTTCTGAAAATTTAGTATTAATCTTCTGGATTTCTGTTTGTAGATTTTGTATAGCTTCTAATTTTTCATTTATTTTGTCATTTTGTTCTTGTAGTCTTTTGAAATTGTTCTAGGGTTTTGTCTGTGTTTTCCTTGATCTGTCTCTCAATCCTTTGAAGATACCTAAATATAATTCTTTTGAATTCCTTATCAGGAAGTTCCAATGCTGCATCTTCCTCAAGGATGTGTTATGCGTCTGTATCCTAGTCCCTTGTTTCTCCTACTTTATCTTGCATCGTTATGTGGACAGTGATGCTCTCTTGTCTCTGAGGCATTGTGACATTTTTGTGTTTATATTTAATTAATGATTGTATGTTGGAGTGACTTGCCCATGATTTTCATTTTGTTTGTATGTTATCTTCATAAGAAGGGTACTGTGCTGTGCTTCTCTATTCACTAGTTGACAGCACTTATACACTCACCACCTGTCTCCTTTCCTGTTGTCAGCATCCCTTATGGCCCTGCCATCCTTGGCAAACAGAACCTATTCTTAGGTCCCTGGAATCCAAATGAGAATGTTGTCACTTTAAATATCCAAAATGGCCACCGCTTGTCAACATTCAAAACGACTGCGCCCTCAGTCACTTTAAATATCCAAAATGGTCATTTATAAACAATCAAAATGGTTGCACCCTCCAGACAGCAGAAAGTCCACAGCTCAGATTGTCTCCCTCCTTGCTGTCTCCCTTCCTAGTCATAGGCCACCAGCGCAGTCGTCCCTGAAGCCCTTGGCAATCAGGGCTGATCATTAGGTCAATTCTCAAGGCCCAACACCACTTGGAAATATTCAGGCTGTTGGTCCCATCAGAGTAGCTGATAGTCCACTGCTCCTACCATTTCTGTACTCACTGTTTTTGTTCAGGTTTTTCCACCAGTTGGTGCCTAATCCACTTCTGTATAGTTCCTTTCAAAGCTCAGGGCTCCAGGATTATCTTCTATATCAACTGGTGTCAATTCTGTGTCAACTGGTTTCTCTTTTCTTTGTTGAAGAGGGTCCTTGTAGCTTATCTGCCTATTCCTCTATCTTACTGGAAGTCCTCTTTTTGGGATCTTAATGTTCTAGCTTAGAACATGAACACTGTATGACAGTGTGAGGACACATTTGTGTAACAAATACCAGAAATATTTAACAAATCAGACTCCATATTAAACAGGAAAATGTTAATTTCTTTTCTGTACTGAAAAATATTATTAAATTAACAGTGAGTCAGTTTGACTGAAGCTGGTGGATCTTATTAAGCAATTATATTCAATAAATACCTGCCATTACAATGTGATATCAACTGTCACTTTTGACACTTGATTACAATAAGCTAAAAGATAAAATTGTCAAAAAGATCTCATTTATAAAGGTATGGTTTCATGAGACAAATAGATGTGTTCAAGTTATTTAATAAAATGCAACACTTTCAACGGTTTATAAAACAAGCCTTTCAGTTGCACCCCCGTGGATGGCTAAGCTAATCGCTGTCCATACCTGGATCGACTATGGGGATCATACGAGCTGCTCCTGGATCTGCTCCTGCTGGACGTCCTAGTATTAATCACACAAAAGACCATCACCTTGTGGGTCACAGCAGGACAAGCACACTAGAAATCCAAACATTTGTTTGCCCACCAGAGTAAAAACACAGTAAAATCTGCCACCTGTACTTATTTTGTTTTCTTATCAAAAGTGCACTGGGTTTTTCCATTGGAGTTCGTAAGATAGATTAAGTTTTACACGATTTTTCTATGAGGTGCACATAAAGCCACTGGAAGAGTCTCTGCTGCAGGTGGGAGAGTAAAAGGTCTGGAGAGGGAGGACACCTGTAAGCAAACTGAGGCCGCAGCAGTGGACACCACTTCAGAGGCCACAAAAAGCAAGCAGCGGAAGAACCAGAAATTGGGGTCACCCTACACATTTCTTCCTTTTGGTCTCTTCACCAAGATTTTATTCCAGTCTCTAAAGTCAAAAGGGGACTGTGGAGCTTTCTTCAAATATTTCTACTGCTTCTCTTGCTCACTCTGCTAAGATCCCACCCTGGGAATGGCCAGAATTCTGTGGCTCTTTGAAAGAAAGACCTCAATGACAAAACAGGCCAGTGTGATGTATAGCAATGACAGGATTTTCCTGCATCCTGCCTGTGCAGCCTAGAACAGCAGCCAGGACAGAGGCCACATCGCAGGGCTGGGGACACAGCCTCACCTATGACTTTTGTAACTGCGGTAGGAACTGCTCCGGCTCCTTGTGCGACCTCTGCTGTACCATCCCCTGCTCCGACTTCTTGAGTAGCTTCTTGATCTACAATTAAAACAGTGAGAGAAAAAGAAAAAAAAGAATTACATTAACACACTGGGCTGTTAAAATTAATTATTGGTAGGGTAAGAAGGGAAGGTAACACAAGAGGTAAGATCTTTGGAAAGGTCTCTCATGAACACATCACAGCAGGTGTGGACAGTGACAGCTAATGAGGTAATCAAAAACAACCAGAGTTTAAATGAAATAAAGAGGTACCAGGAAAGGCTGGTACACGTACATTCAGAGAAGCACTGAAAGGAAAAAAGTAGTCAAAGATTCTTCTGGAATTAAAGTTCAAAGGATGGAAATCAAGCACAATATAATAAGGGATATGAGTAATGAACAGACTGAAGTAAAACAGTGAAATTATTTATAAGGAAAAATATATACTTATTAACTGCATATTACCATCATCAATTTTTACATTTTTAATTCTCAATCTTTGCACTATCCAGTCCATGCTGATGATGAAAATTAGATGCAATCTAAACCACTCCCTACTCCCAAAAATGTCAAGAAGATCATTTTTACCATCCCCCCCCCACCACCACCAAATAAAGATAACTGGATGCAGGCCCTTGGCTTCTCTGACCTCACTTTTGTATAAAATGGAGCATTAGAGGAATGAGCTCTAAGTCCCATATATTCTGAAATTCAGGATTCACTTCTAACACATCACTAATGGGAGAGAGAACAGCCTCACACCTCTAAAGATGGTGCCCTTGCCACCTATCATGGCAGTGTGTTTCTCTATCCAAGAACTTTAATTGACAGCAATAGAGTTTTTGACAATGAGCCCAAATTTCTTCCCTTGAAATGCCTATTCCCCATGACCTCAAGCTACTCTCTGGGCCATGCAGAACAAGACTTCTTGTTCCCTTTCAGGCATCTGGAAACAGTGATCTTGCCCTTTACTCTGATGCTCTTCCATGATAATAAACAATCACAAACTCTCCTTGGGAGGAGAAAGGGAAAGAGGATACTACTCACCGGTAAGACGATGTGGAACTTCGCGATCGACTTCTTGAATGACTATAGGAGACAGACCTTGTTCTGTGTCTTGATTTGGTTTCAGATTTACTTCGAGATCTACTTGGACTCCTAGATTGGCTGTCATCATCCCGACTAGGCGTCTGCTCATCACTTGAACTCTCCCGATTTCTTGGCCTCTGGTTTAAGCGTGCTGTCTTTCTTACTTCATCAAAGAGAGATCCAGGCCGAACTTTATTTTTACTCTTAATTTCTATTCTCAAGCCCTGTGGTTTCATTTCAGGCACAGCAGTCGATGCCTTAACTTCCACGGCACTGGATGAGGTAACAGCTGGTGCTGCCAGGTTCCCCACACCTTGTAGGGGCTTCCATTTGTTATCCACAAGGCTGACCTGGCTCTTCTCGGCCACCTCCCTCTTCGTAGTACTTTCTGCAGCACTGGCTATGCTGGCAGTGCTGCCATCCTGTTTCCCCACCTCACTTGTCGTTTTACTTTCAGACACACCACTTTCCTGTTTTCCCACCTCTGCCTCAGAATGCTCCATCTGCACCTCCTGCTTTAGAACAATGGTCCCATCCGAGGTGTCAAACTTTGAATTTTCTAGAGGGGATGCTGCCTCTACCTTTGCTGGGGAACTCCTATCAGGAGTGCAAATCTCCATGTTATCATCTGTTTGAAGCACATCCTCCACTCCGCTCAGGACACTCTCTTCAACATGCTGGATGTTTTGGGGAGAACTGGCTACATTTTCCTCAGTATTTAAAACCACAGGAGAAATGCTGCATTTACTATCATCTTTAGTATGCTGCTCAAGATCTGATGAAATAGTCACTGTATTGTGTTTACCTGAAACAATGTTGTCTTCACAGGACTTCTCAGTTTTCTGAATGTTATCTTTTATGGTTTCACCATCTTCAGAAACTTGCTTTTTCTCTTTTGACTCCTGGGTAACTTGCTTTTCATTAATCTCCTCCTCCTCCTCTTCCCCAAATTCTAATGGAGGCTGCCAGTGAAATGCCTGTTTTCGTTTTGGAGCCTTGTGCTTTTTGTCTTTTTTCCCTTTCAATTTCTCTTTCATTTTTTTGGTGTGTTCCTTTTTAAGGTTTTCCTTTGGCCCATGTTTGTGCTTCCGTGCCTTTCCTCGCATGTTTTCAGGATTGGAACAGGATCCCCCAGAATCAGAAGTTGATGACCGCTGTTTACCTGGTTTCCAAACAGCACTGTCATCAGGCAGTGAAGTATTTGCTAAAGACTTTGTTGTGGGTTTGGCTTTGATGTTAATTTCACCCAACTCTGATTCAGAATCTGATGTGGCCTCACCTTCTTCCTTATCAGAAGACTGCCGGGAATCATTTTTATTGTTTTTAGTTACATCTCGTTCTGAATTTGATTCAGAGTCCCATTTGCTCCCAGCATAATTTTTCTTTTTGGGCTTACTACCATTTTTAAAGTGATCAGAAAGATTCTCTTTCAAAGTTCTTCTTTTTGAACGAGGACATTCCCGTTCAGGTTTGGGTTTCTCTTCATCTTTCTTCTTTTCTTGTTTATTACCAATTACTTCCACTTGGACCTGCTTCTCTTTTTCCTGGGCTGATTGTACAACCTGAATACTTGACTGTTCACTGTCTGAAAAATCATCTAAAGATGACCTGCTTTCACTATACTTTCTCTTGTATGAAGACCTATCTCTGCCTTTGACATATTTCTTGCTGAGTGTCTTTTCAGAGCTGCTGCTGTGCCTTTTATTTGAAGCATTTTTTTTTTTCCCACTTGATCTGAATTTCCTCTTGTTTTGTCTTCTATCATCACTGCTAACAGAAGAGTATGAAGATGATCTACTATACTGGGAATGATCACTGTATTTATTTTGTGAATGAGATCTAGACGAGGGAGACCTAGACCTTGAGTGTGAGCTAGCTAGACTACGTGACCTTGTATATGATCTGGAATAAGATGTACTCCTAGAAGATCTGCTCCTTGACCTTGGTGAACTCTCTGAACTTCTATCACTGTATTTTGAATAAGCACTCCGATCGCTTTCTGAATGTTTCTCTCTTTTATGGTAGGATGATGAACTACCAGTTTCTTTCACATTTGCTAAGCTGTAAGTGCTTTGGGTGGGCAGCAAGTGGGTTGTTTTAGCTTTCATTTCCTGAATTCGCTCATAAGAGGGCTTCCAAGGTTTCTGTCCGGGCTTCCACCTTGAAGGGGGGGGACTGTCACTCAATGGTATTACAGGAATATTTTCTGCCACCACTGGCTGGACTACTATACTTTCATTTTGTGGCACTGTTACTCTCAAAGGTTCTGTTTTAACAGGTTTATTTTCACTTAACTGAGAGGCTGTTCTTGGTGATTTTGATGCTGTCCTCTGGTGCCCTGACTTTGAACTAGATCTGGACTTTGATCTACTTCGAGAATGTGACGAAGATCTCGATGCAGTCCTTGATCTGGAGCTTCCTCTAGAATAAGACCGTGAGTGAGATTTCGATCTGTATGAGTCTCTACTGGTATGAGTTGAAGAGCTCTGGTCATCTTTATCAGATTTAGACCAGTCTCTCTTGGATGAGTGATGAGATGATAAAGAGGAAGAACGAGATCGCCTTTCTCTATCACAAGAAAATTTCATTTGTCTGGTGGAAGATTTTGAGGATTCTACGTCAGATGGTAAAACAACCCTTCTCTTCTTTGTCTGTCTGTGCTTTCTGCAGCGTTTCTGCTTTTTGGCTTTCTTTCTGTGCTTCACCTTTTTCTCTTTTCTGTGTTTTTTATGGTGACCATCAGAATGTCTTGCTGTACTAAGGTCTGAATAATATCCATTATAGGACCATGATCTGGATCTCTGCGACATGCTTCTCTCATCCCATCGGCTTGAACAGGGGTCACTTAACCTGTAAAAAAAAGATATAACATACATGCAACTGTTTACAAGCATTTAAAGACATTTGCTGTCAATCCAAAAGCACTCACAAAAGCCTTGTTAAAAACAAAATACTGACTGTATCAACACTTTAAGCACATGTAAGAGGGATGAATCAGAGTGATAGGCCTGTTCGTGACATTAATAATTTCACAGATATACACTAACAACCACTAACAGATGCACTTAGAAAAGTTATTTTTTCAAAGCTCAGTAAAGAGTTTCATATTTGACAAGAGAAATGTGGTTGAAACCAAACCAACTAATCACAAGAGCATTGCTCACACAACACCAAGTTCTTGGCTGTGATTTGCTTAGAACTCTCTGCCTGCAAGAGTAATTTTTAAAGGAGAGGCAAATCAAGTTCCCAAACAATTGTGTTGTTTCTCTGGAACAAAACAGCTACCTGATCTTCAAAGAAATCCTCTTTTTCTTAAGAGGCTAGCACAACTATTGTTTTATTTCAGCCTCATGAAAATAATCAGGATTTTTCCTCAAGGTTTCAGCTGAATCATTTACTACAGGAATTGGAAAAGAGTAAATGAAAACAAATGCAGCCTCTGCACTCTCTGAGGCGACGTGAGGGTCACAGTTAAAAATCCTCAGCACCACTATGTCTAAGCCTGCATTTGTTTTCACATAGCAAATCCACACCTTTTCCTCCCTCTTCCAATTTCAAACCATTTTGCAAGATCCCAACAGAGAAAAAGAGAACTCTACCATGAAGAATTATACAGGGCCTTGATGGTATATTTAAGGAGGTCTGGTGGTGTAGTGGTTAAAAGCATTTGGCTGCTAACCAGAAAGTCGATGGCTCAAACCCATCAGCTTCTCCATGGAAAATGATGAAGCAGTCTGCTTCCATAAAGATTTACAGCCTTGGAAACCCAATGGGGGTCACTATGAGTTGGAATCGACACAATGGCATTGAGTGTGGGTTTTGGTTAATGGTATATTTAGCTATTTTGGGCCAGGCCACATTTCTAGCAGACATTCCACTAGAGGGTGTCCCTGAGGGTGAAGTAAGTACACCACTGAAGAAGCAAGTCCTTGGAGTTAGAAATTAATGCACACACTTGCATACGGCTTTTCCTATCTATCAATTAATTAATTAATTAATCAGTGACTAAGAGACCTGGGCTAAGAAAGAAGAATCTCCCATACAATTTTTAAGTTCTGGTTGTCTGTAAACTTGAATAAGAAACCTTTAATAAGAGATTCAGTAGGCTTATAGTTTTGTGAGGGAAAATAAAATTTTTTTTTGTTCTCCCAAAGCTCTCTAAAGCATAGTTTAGCCTAGTGAAAGTTACTAGCACTGCTTTCACCAAGTATTCCCAAATGTGTCCCCTTCGGTCACAACCTAATTCTGACAATGTTTTATTAAAGTCTAAAAGTAAGTCTCTGTTCTCAACACTTAAAATAAAGCAGAATTCTGCTTAAACTCAAAGTTCTTACTTATCTCCTTTACTCCATTTTTCCCCACTAGGTGGTCTGTATGTTCTTAACCTCTGCATTTCCTCTTTCCAGTGAGGAGGTGTTTCACTGCTGTCATCATCATCTGATTCAGAACAGGATCTTGATCGTGGAGGTGTGTGATAGCGCTTTAAAAACAAAGATGGGAAAATCTATAAATGCCTCTCTACTGCACAGTTTGCTATAAGACAGAGTTAGGGATAAGCCTCCACCTCAGACTCCATTACAGGCAATGAGTCAAGTACCAAAAGGATGGTATGAAGTTCTTTCTAACACTAGGGACAAAAAGCAGATGGGAAAGGCTGAGATTAACCTGTAATCCCACATGAAATCTTACTCTTCGAAGTCCTAATGGTTATATTCATTAGTTTAGATTCTCCAACATACGAATATTCCTTAGTATACTGCTTGCTTCACATGTTCATTTCATACCTAATTACACCCAGTCAAAACCAGGAGTAAATGATAAGTTTCCCTTCTCACAGGTATACAACTAGTTCCTAGAACTGAGTTTAGACTATACCTAAAATTAAAGATAAGATTCTGCCTGTAGGAAAAAGAAATTTTACTACTTAAGTAATTTGAAAAAAGAAGTCTTAAAACACATACGATTGTGCCCCTTCCTTTAATCTTCCGTCCAGACTTTGATACAGATGGTTTCTGATCACTTACAATGGGTGCAACATCAGGAATCTTCCTAGAAAAGGGATTGTACAGAAAAGTAAAAATAAGCAAAAACTAGGTAGGTTTTTCAATATTTCAATGCTAAATTTATGTCCCTATATACTCTAAAACACTTCATTTATCCAACAATTCCACAATTCCATTCTCCTAAGCACACCTGTTATATGCCAAAATGGAAAAGGAAAAAAAAAAAAGTAACCCAATTAGCTAGCAATACATAATACTTGTATCTTCTCTTTTTCAGATGCCTCTTGTGAAAACAGTGATGTTCTAAGGGAATACTGAGGCATTTCTGACTCTGATGAACAAGTATGTTTTACAGTTTGCCTTCCCAATGCTACTCTTGACTGCCACTCTTACCTTCTTCAATGATTTTTATCTGTTGCTTTATCTTACAGGTAATTCTAAGAGTATAGTTTTTGTGACAGCTACAGCTATCTATGCTTGAGAGGTCCTTTCACACCTTTGTTTATCTGTAGCTGTTACTATTATTAATGTAATGACTAATTTTTATTAAGCACTTACTATGTGCCAGGCATTATGTTAAAATACATTTTAAAGACATCAGCTCATTCAATCCTCAATACTATGAGGTAGGTAACTACAATCATCTCCATTTTAAAGATAAAGAATTTTAAGATTAAGAGATTAAAACCTTTGCCCAAGGTCACAGAAAGAAATGACACTCTTACACCTCTTATCAGGCGCTCTGGTAGCATAGTGCCTAAGGCACTTGATTGCTAACCAGAAGGTTGGCGGTTCAAACCCACCAGCCACTCCTCGGAAGGAAGGCTGGGCAACCTACTTCCGTAGTGATACAGCCTCGGAAACCCAAGGAGGGGTCGCTATGAGTCGGGCCAACCCGCCTCGATGGCACATAACAACAACAACAACATCATACCTGTTATCTAGGCTTTCCTAAGGTTCCAGGAATCTGGCCTTCAATTTACATATGTTACTATAAGAAACTCTTGACCATAAAATATATTACCATTTTCTCAGTTTTTCCATATTCGTTATATCATTTGATTCTAGGTACTCTTGGTAGGCAACTGTTAGCTCTATTTTCTTCATGAAGAAAACAGCACCTGGGTACCTTTTCAATACTGACCTAACTCTGCCATCCTCTCCCTGCTACCTACAACATTCTGATTTGCTTTCAGGTATGGCCAGAAGTTGGTATTTTTAAAAGTTCACCAAATCATCCTAAAGTGCAGCTGAGGTTGAGAACAAATGAACATGAGTAGAACCCAGTTTCCATTAAGCAAATTTAACTAAATGAGAACAAGGATGTTCTTGGTGTGCCTTCTAGTCGATTCCAACTCATAGCAACATTACAGGACAGAGCAGAACTGCCCCAGAGGTCCAAACCACCAGCCTTTCAATTAGCAACTGAACCCTTAGCCATTGTGTCACCAAGCCTCCTTGAGAATAAGTATAACTGCAGGGAAATCAGTACAGTGGTTTTTCCCTGAATATGCTGTTACAGAAGCACACTTAAATCCAACTCCCAAACAAGTGATCAAAATCTAAAAGCTTATAATAATAAAGTAGATCAATCAGCTACCTTTGTGTGACACAAATACCAGACAACCATCATTTAAAATAATTTTACACTTTTTTTTAATGCATTTTATTGAGATACAATTTATGTACAGTGAAATACACAAAAGTAAAGTAACATGGGTTAATGCACTTTTTTTTTTTTTGCAGTGTTCTCTCCACCCCCGGCAACCAACAGAGAGTTTCCCTCCATATATAAACCTTTCCTTGACCCTCCACAACAATGAACTAATACTATATTTGCCCTTCTGTGACTGACTTATTTCACTCAGCATGATGTCCTCCAAGTTCATCCATATTATGTGGTGTTTTGCAGACTCTACATTATTCTTTAATGCTGCACAGCATTCCAGTATGTGTATGTACCATAGTTTGGTCATCCGCTCTTCCGCTGATGGGCACGTAGGTTGTTTCCATCTTTTTGCTATTGTAAATAGTGCTGTGATGAACATAAGCATGCATGTATCTGTTTCTATCCTGGCTCTCACCTCTTTAGGATATATACCTAGTAATGAGATTGCTGGGTCAAATGGTATCTCCAATTCCAACTTTCTAAGGAATCACCATATTGCTTTCCACGGCGGCTGTATCACTTCACAGTCACACAAGCAGTGTATGAGAGTCCCAATCTCTCCGCATCCCCACCAGCATTTGTTATTTTCTGTCTCACTGAACCTTGCCATCAGTGCTGGGGTGAGACGGTATCTCGTTGTTTTGATTTACATCTCTCTGATGGCCAATGATTGTGAGCATCTTTTCATGTATTAGCTGACCACCTGAATATCCTCCTTGGTGAAGTGTCTATTCATGTCTTTTGCCCATTTTTCAATTGGATTGTTAATTCCTTTGGTGTTGAGGCATTGGAGTTTTCCATCAAAGATAAGTCCCTTGCCAGATATATAATTATCAGCAAATATGAATTTGTTGCTTTCATTTGTCATGTGCTTTTTCATTGTGTCAATTTCTTTGTTCCATATAATTTTCTATGCTGAGCTCATTTTGTTTGTGAATCATGTTATCACTTCTTCATTGCTATTGTTTTAGTATTTGCTGAATATTTATGCTGGTCCTCTTTTCTATTTTGATGTGAAGGTTTATCATTTTTCTTTGAGGTTACCCTGTGATTTATAGTTTTCTTTGAAGTGTGGAACAGTCCATTCTATCTTGTAGTTGTCTTGACATCCCTACCATATAGAAGTTCTGTAACGACACAGATTTTTTTTCCCTTTTTGGTTTGTAGTTGTCCTCATTTGTCGGTTGGTGTCTCTGGTTCCATGTTTACAATCTTGCAGGCTTATTTACTTTGGATACTTCTATAGCTGGGTGGGTTTCTGGGTTGTATCATCATGTAGCACAACAAACTTTCACAGATGTTATGTGATCAAAGAATTGTAATGGCCACAATAAACTTATCAGCAGTATTCCACAAAGACAGTGGTATAAACTACTGTGATACTGCTAAGTAATAGCAGGGGTTGGCAACCTCTTTTGCAAAGAGCCAGAGAGTAAGTATTTTAGGTTTGGTGGGCAAAGAGGAAAACTGAGGCTATTACATAGGTTCTTACATAGGAAAGGAGCTCTGGTGGTGTAGTGGTTAAAGCACTTGGCTGCTAACCAAAAAAGGTTGATAGTTTAAAGCCACCAGTCACTCCAGGGAAGATGAGGCAGTCTGCTTCCATAAGGATTTATAGCTTTGGAAACCCAATGGGGGGTTGCTATGAGTCAGAATCAACTCAATGGCATTGAGTTTTGCTTTTATTCTTTCTTATATAGGAATGGATAGAACTAATTTTCATTGAAAAAATTTAAAATATAGTAACTGAGTATGCTTTACAACAGGGTCTACTAATGAGAAGAATAGGAGCTCTGATAGCATAGTGCCTAAGGCACTTGACTGCTAACCAGAAGGCTGGCGGTTCAAACCCACCAGCCAGTCCTCAGAAGGAAAATGGGGCAATCCTACTTCCGTAGTGATACTGCCTCGGCAACCCAAGGAGGGGTCGCTATGAGTCGGGCCCGACTTGATGGCACATAACAACAACGAGAAGAATAGAATTCTGTTCTTTTTAGGGGGAGGTAACATTTTGCTTATTTGGGGTTTGAAGTTACTGTTTCTTATCAAAATATATTATTAATGTTGTTTATCTGGGAATGCTGCTCTGTAAGGTGATTTTCCAAATTTAATCTTTGAAAATGTCTTTCCATACACATAGATGATACAATGCATGGCACTTTTAATACTGAGAGTTGTAACTACATCGTTGTGATTTGTGGTGAGCACACTAAGCAGCAAAGTAAAGCAACAAGAGCACTACATACAAACTCTATTGCAGCTACTCAGTTCTGCTTTTGTGGAGTGAAAACAAAACCAAAACCAAACTCACTGCCATCGGGTCGATTTCGACTCACAGCAACTGTATAGGATACAGTAGAACTGCCCTATAGGGTTTCCAAGGCTGTAAATCTTCATTGGAAACAAACTGCTTCATTTTTCTCCTGTGGAGTGGCCAGAAGGTTTGAACCACTGACTTTCTGGTTAGCAGCTGAATGCTTTAAACACTGCACTACCAAAGGTCTTACAGTGAAAGCAGCCAACGAAAATATGTGAGCAAGTAAGTGTGGCTGTGTTCCAATAAAACTTTATAGACAACTGGCATTTGAATTTTATATCATTTTCACATGTCATGAAATACTACTCTTGACTTTTTTTTGTCAAACATTTTAATAGATAAAAATGACTTTTAGCTCATGGGCTGTATAAAAGCAGGCAGTGGGTCAAATTTGACCTATGAACCACAGTTTGCTGCCCCTATTTTCTAATACTAAAACTGAGTTTTCTCCATGAACAACTGCCTCCTTTGCTATGAAACCAGAAGAACTGGATGGTGCCCAGCTACCATTACTGAATATTTTGATAAAAGATTTTATAGAAAAATCCTGGTCAAAACGAGGGAAAGGCAGAACAGAATTCCAAATTCTCACAGAATCCAGACTTCACGGAGCCAGTGAGGCTGGATGAACCCCTGAAACTACTGCTCTGAGATAATCTTTAAATCTTTTTTTTTTGCTAAGAAGTTATTCTTTGTCTTGTTAGCTCTACACTACATAGGGACATTTTTATAGCACATATAAATATGTATGTAGGATAATCATCTGCCCAACTTGTGTATGGTCATGGGTATATTCCCATTAGAGATTTAATCTTTAAAACTTAAGCTAAAAATACTCCTCAAGTCTTCTTTAAACAAAACAATAGTGTAGTTGAACTAGTAAAGAAAGTCTGGCTTGAACACTGTATACTTTTGAAGAACTATCTATGTGGCATCAAAGGGACAACCGCAACTCAAAAGATGAGAAAGAAGCTAAGGGGGGTATTGAGGAACAATCTGGAAAAGGAGGATAAGAATGGTTACACAACTTGAAGAACAGAATCAATGTCACTGAATTGTA